ATCATAGCTCATCATACAGATTAGCTGGGCTGTTATAGTTACATTTCTTGGGAGTGTTATTGGTTTTATGCTTTTAATGTGATGAGCTAATGTGATGAGCTCTTTTTCTTAACAGCAACATTTAAATTCATGTTGATGTGATATTTCTTTGTCTTTAGTAATTATTAATAATATTATTGATTGTATACATAAATAAGACTTTCATATTTTCTGAGCTGCAGTTTGTGCAAACTGTAATTCCAGTCGCCAACTCTGTTTTCTTGTTGCTAATGTGCTCATTTGACCTGGTTTTGAGAAATTATATCATTTTGGTTTAAGAAATTTTATAAGAGTGAACTGATCATCTCTGCTGATCATCCTTGTGCTTATGTCATCTTGAGCTTTCCATTTGTTTTAGCCATTGAGTACATGTAGCTATTTTATCTGTTTTAATTTGGCTAGCTTGTGAAGCTAAGCTTTAGTTATTTTCTATCAATTTATTTTAAACATATATTCACTATTATCAAACTGCTTCAACCTTTTATTCAGCTTTTGCCATTACTTAAGCTTTATATTTCAACTTTTTATTGATTACTTTTAGCTACCTATCAGTTACTTTCAGAAAATTAGTTCTTCCATACACTATTCTTAGCTAACTAGCCATTAGCCATTAATTTTGATGGTTACTTTTATTTATCATTAAATTGTTTTATACAAAAATCTTATAGTAGAATTCCATCTTTCACTTTTAGTTTTTCAGCTGCTTAATAGTTACTTTTGTTTATCACTCACTTTTTTAGCCACTTTTAGCTAGTTTTCAGGTTTAGCCTTTAGCTAGCTATTTTATTCATTGTTGTTTCACATTGCCTCTAAACGCATGTAATTTGTCATTAATTCCTATGTGTTGCTTTTTCTTCCTGTAATAATCTTTTTAAATGTCCTTAGTGAGCACCTTGGGTTGGACGCCCAGCCCTTCAATTCAAACTTTGATTTGTGCCCTGATTGTTCCTTTTTGTTCTGGTTAAAGGGAAGATGGGTGTATGGTATTTACACTACAGTACTAACATTTCTATACAGTGCGCTCTAACAATACAGGTGCCATTTAAAACTAATCTTGCTTGTCTCATCTGTAGGCTATGTATATCTAAGATCAGAGTACTTTGTGCACACTAATGTGGCCTTCAATGTGACTGAGTGCTCTACTATAAATCATGTTAATGATTCAGGGAGGCAGCCAGATGGATTTGGGTGCTGATTTGTTCATGGTGGAGTAAATGAAAGATGGCATTATGAGAAAAAAAAGGGCCATTCCAATTTTGTCTTACTTCATCTTAGGTTCATAATCCTGATAGCTGAGCCATATAATGAGAACAAAATAAATTAGAGAACAGACAGAAATGAATCAAATCACGCATTAAAGCAATGCAGAGGTAAAATAAATAAATAAAGACGTGGCAATAAATCCAGTGTAAAAATTTAGAAATGAAGATGGAAACAACACAACGAGAAGGACGATGGCTTGCTTGCCTGTATGGGATTAATGCTAGTCTGCATTAATCCCATACATTTCCACATTTCCACATTTTGGAAGCGGATTTGTTAGTGATTTACAGATGTTAACAATAATTATCTCTTTTGCATAGGTATCTAGTTCCCTTCATAAATGCTGGCAGACCTTCACATTTAAGCGGTTATAAATGGGCCAGGTGCGCAGCGAAATAAATGATTTATGAATTCACCAGAGCAACCATTAAACATAATTTTCCCAGGGCTGTCTTAATGACCTGGTGGGAAAGGTACTTTATCAAGGCGATTGCCCCCAGATTGGACACAGAAACACAGGCAATGGACACACACAAAAAAAAGAACAAAATGTTGTCCTCTAACTAGTGGGAGTTTTGTTGGAGGGATAGCGGGTGATAGAGACAAAAGAGGTCATAAGAAATGCGTTGAGAGGACAGGATATGAAGAGGGTACGACTCATATCAGCACGGCACGGCTTATCTTCTTCTGGAGTTATCAGATAAAAATATGAGGATGATTTTGAGGGCTGCATAGTAGGAGCCTCGAGGCAAAACTTCTGAGACTGCATTACATTCGCTGAAAAGTATAACAGCTCACTTACAAATGAAGCGGGTGCATTTCAGCTTTTTTAGCCCCCATTCAGAAATGTTGCCTGAAAGCTACTAATACAATATCACTTACTGATCTGCTCATATTCTCAGCATCATTAACTTCAAAATAGTTTATGTAAAGTATATTTGACAAAGCTAATTATGTCGTAAAGAAATAATTGTAATTAAATGCTTTAAATACATTTTAGGGTGTCAAATTTAGCATTTTAGCAATTTATGCACTTTAGCTCAATTGTGCTCGTCACAAAGCCCGTACAAAGGCCCGTATGAATATATAATACATATACTGAGTGCTGTAGTAGACAGCTTTCAGCACTTTCCCTCCAAAAAAGGTTTTATCGTACTAATTGTTGCCAAAAGGGGGCAATTTTAAGCAGAGAACTATTTCAGTCTGTGACATCAAATTACCTATTTCCCTCCAAATGACTTAATTTGCAGAGGTGCCATTCATTGCAATGTCACAGATCATTTATGTATGAGATTGCAATTGGTCAATTCAATTTGTTTTAAATCTACATAAAGTCATTTCATAGGCTCTTTCTGGGAGAGGAAAAAAGAAGTGCCGTGATCAGGCCAACAGAGGTGTTAATTATTTAACCAAAGGTATGCTCTAAATGCAAATCACCCCAAAAATGTTTAAGACATCAATAGCGCAAAGTTTTTGATGACGGCACAGACATTTTTTTTTTTATCTTTTACATCACAGCATTAGCATATTTCATTTGAAGCTCCTTATCTGAATTGGGAGGACTCTATGCTAAGCTAAAAATGTTCAGTCCATCATCTTCTAAGAAAGCTCAATTCAAGAGTAAGTTTGGTATTCAAAGTTACATCGGTGCAAAAGTCACGCTGCAATCCATGAATCACAAGGCAGCGGCAGCCACTGTCTCCATTACGGGGTGAGGAGGGGGGAAAAAACCACATCAAACACGATATCAATTCTATTCTACTCCTCTTCTGAGAAATGTTGCATCTTACCAGTGCCACTCTACAATAACACATCCATCATAATAACGGTAGCTAAAATGAAGAGGAGGGAGGAAAAAATAGAAGATGAGAAACAGAAAGATGTTAAAGATAAACACGGCATAAGATAAAAAGGCAGGATGTGAGTGCTAATCAAAAAAAAAAAGAAAAGCAAAGAGGGAGAAAGAGATACTCGGTGAAACAGAGATGAAACATTCATATTAAAACAAGGCAGTATGATGAAATCTGAACAAAAAACATGACATCAAGCCATAAAGAGGAACCAAATAGCAGGAAGATGAAACAAAAGAAGGCATAGCTCATTAAGCTAGGCTAAATTGACTTAATTAACCAATGCTATCATGATCATTAAAACCGGCTCACCTTGATAGACCATTAAAGGTAAAAAAGCATTGGATCTGAAAAGATCAGCAATGTGTATAAAAGCCCACAGTAGCCTACACCTAATTCCAGTTTTCTGTGTGTGTTCATAGCGTTTCCTAATGGATGTTGGTGTAAAAACCTCATCAGATGAATGACGGCTGACAAAAAGCTGTACAGATCCATCCCTTTTTTTTTTCTTTTTTTTACAAACGGCCAACACTGCAGAGTGTTTTCGAGTCGGTAAGACTTGGGTTGAGGAGGTCAGTGGGTTGCTACATTTAGGAGAGCGCAGTGTTATAAATCACGTGACACTTAGGACCACAGCAATCAATATTTTTCCTGCAGAACCAACTACACAATGTATCTGGCCTTTGGAAAAATGGCCGATGTACATAAGTGGTCACAAAATATGCTGGCGTCTTACTGAGTAGTAAGTAGTTACCTACTGCAAACTTTAAGATCAACTAAATCACATTGAATCATTTGTTGTATTTACTTTTTAAAGCATTTTTGATCAG